TCTGAACTGGTAGTTGGGAGGCATTAACCCTAGAGCCTCAGGGGTAACCTTGTCAACTCTGGGTAAAAAGTCACCTGAAGCTGGACCAACACAGAGCAGAATTGAGCTGTTAAGAAGTGGGAGGGAGAGAAAAAGAGAAAGCGTGAGAGAGAATTAATGATACATTTTGAAGCTGGGCACTGGTGTCTCCTGCCTGTAATCAAAAATACTTGGGAGGCTGAGATCAGGAGGATCATGGTTTGAGGCCAGTCCAGGTAAATAGTTCAGGAGGCCCCATCTCCAAAATAACCAGAGCAAAATGGATTGGAGGTGTGGTTCAAGCAGTAGAGCGCCTGCTTTGTAAGCACGAAGCCCTGAGTTCAAACTCCAGCCCCATCAAAAATCTATTCAGTGGTGAATGGAGTTCCAGCACTATAGCATGTTTTACCTTGCTCACCTTTAATTTTTTTCTTTCAGACTACCTGAGAAGAGAGGTAATATAATTATTTTCATTTCATATATTTTTTTGCAGTACTGATTCCAAGAAACCACAAGTGTGATGTCCTAGACTTATTTTTCTATGAAAAAAGACATTAGCTGCTGGGCACCAGTGGCTCATGCCTGTAATACTAGTTACTCAGGAGGCAGAGATCAGGAGGATCAAGGGTCAAATCCAGCCCAGGAAAATAGTCCAAAAGACCCTATCTCAAAAATTCCCTTCACAAAAAAAAAAAAAAAAAAAAAATTCCCTTCACAAAAAAGGGATGATGGATGGAGTGGCTCAAGGTGCAGGCCCTGAGTGCCTAGTGCCACAAAAAAAATGTCATGATGACATGTAAAATGTTCATCCATATGACCCTAAAATCTCTGAGTACATCCCCCCCACATTGTCTCCCACCACAGCTCACTGCTTCTTAGTTTCTTCATTTGAAAAATGGGGCTATCAATATGTCTTTCACCAGATTGTTGTCTGAAACAAATGAGGAAATAGTTGAGGCACCACTTAGTTGCTCTTCAAGAACTAAACTTAAGAAGGGAGGAGCTTTGACTGTTAAGATGATGAACTCCTCATGCTGGGGTGGTAGTGTGCTTTACTAGCATGCACAAGGCCCTAGGTTTGATCCCTGGCACTAAAAAAAAAAATTAAAAGAGGAGAGAGAGAGAGATGATAAACTCCTCAAGGGAAGAATGAAGACTTTGGTTTTCTACCTCTTAAGCCTCTTCTTGTAAGTCTCTTATCTTGGCTACACACCAGCCTTGCTAGGCTCTTATATGTCTTCAGATGGGCCCTGCTTAGACTTTTGCTTAAGCATTCTCTTCCACTGGAACACTCAGATTGTGCTTTCTAAAAATGACCACAGCAATATTTCTACTCTTCTAAACCTTGCCACTCTCCGATGAAAAGATGAAGTCTAAACTGTGGGTGGTGGCACATGATTGTCATCCCAGGACTTAGGAGGCTGAGGCAGGAGGATCATGAGTTTGAGGCCTGACTAGGGCTAAAAAGTGAGACTCTGTCTCAAAATAAAACAAAACAAAATGACTGGGCATGGTGGTACACGTCTGTAATCCTAGGTTCATGGGAGGCATCCTATTCTAGCCCCAGGCAATAATTCTGAACCCTACCCTAAAAGTAAGTAAAGCCAAAAAGGGTTGGGGGTAAAGCTATGGTGGTAGAGCACCTGCTTAGCAAGGGCAAGGCCCTAAGTTCAAACCCCAGTACCAATAAAAAACCAAAACAAAAAAAAAATCTCTATGGAGATGGGGTGTGGCTCATGGATTAGAGCCCCTATCTAGCAAGTGTGAGACCCTGAGTTCAAACCTCAGTACCAACCATTAAAAAAAGGAGAAGCTTATTTCCCTTCCCCTTGAAACAGACTCAGCAATTAAAACACAGAAGT